CACGCCGTTACAATCCATGTCGTCATGTCCTGATTATGCTCTGTCTAACGATCGATCATCTTGTCAATAGCCCTGCAGCATAGTTTTCATTGCAAAAGGATTCTTTGTATGGTTGTTATGATAAAAGTACTCTACTCATCCTTGCCTGCTTTCCATAATCCATCTAGTGTACGAGGACAACGGTTTCCCAGTTTCCATTTCAACAGTACAATCACACAGAAATCCAAACATAGAAACATATTACAAAATAATGTTAAAGCTAGAACTGTGAGTAATCTTTAAATCATCACCCTGTTTCTCATTTATTGCTAAAGTAAATAAAATGGAAATATCTTTGAAATGCAGAAATGGAATGCTAATGCACTAGAGTAAATGTTGCAAGCACCACTTCTATTGTAATGTCAGTAAATGATTCATCCACCACTTGTATTGTAATGTCAGTAAATGTTGCATCCACCACTTGTATTGTAATGTCAGTAAATGTTGCATCCACCACTTGTATTGTAATGTCACTGCAATATTTCAAGATCTTGAAGCACCAGCAACATTTATATCAAACACAAACGTTTTGAAACTGACCTTTGTGTTCGGGTTTTTAATCTATTACACGATGTCGCATTTTATTTGTCATGGTTGGAGTAACACTTGTTACAGGTCTTGGCACTATAAATGGATCCATATTCCTTTGTTTTCCAATGCCATTAAATCCAATGGGTATCCACATCTTGAAAAATCTAAATTCCTTATATGAATGTGGCTTTATGATCTGAGTGGACGAATATTTTGCGTCGAAATGGGCTGTTAACATACCATTTCCAAAAGCTATAAATTTTCCGTGGTATCATACTATCTATGAAACACCAAAGAATGTCAAAATGTCCTGATACACGTCCTAACTTCATATCTATTGTGGTGGTTCATGTGAGTTGTTTATTTGCATATTCAAAATCGTTTTATGATAATGTAGTCAATCATCTGTACTCTTCGAAATACGAAAGAGATTTGCTTAATATTAAATAAAGTTTTTCTCATTTCATTGAATTTATAATTCTATTGGCTTCAAAAAAAATTTATCGCTAAAGAATAAATTTAAAAAAAGGCTTCGCTAGGAAGCCCTGCCTCTCAATTTTCAGCGATAACACAGGCCTGCGAATTTAAATTTTATAAAAGCTCTTTCGAAAAATAATATTCATTAGTTTTTCTATCACGTAAGGATTGTTTACAAATCGGGAAGAAGAAAAACTTTTACTTCAATCAAATTATTATTTCGTTTACCACAATGAACATTTTTTATTACTATCTTTGTTAACAAAAATACAAACAAACTGAAGAAAAGAGAAGAACATTGGTGTCAAATGAATATGCATCCTCATTCATCCTGATTTGTGTGTGTGTGTGTGAAATCTACGTCTTTTAGTCTCAAAAGTATGAGTTGTGGTCTTTTTTATGTATTGCATTATGACGTTTTGTAAAAAAATCTGTACGTGATGGGAAAAAATGGATATCATTTTTGAATTCAGCGTACAGGGATTACCGTAGAACATGTAAACATTTCAAGACAACAAAACCATCGCAAGCCTGTGTAATTACACTTAAGGGCTTATTATGCTAGAATTCGAAAGTCATGCCCTGCGGTAGGCATAGGGCAGATAGCTCACTCTACAGATTTGTTCTTAAACAAAGAAACTATAATAATCAATCAATGGTAGTGGCTGGGTGGTGAAAGTATGACACTGATCTTGAAAACATGTAACTAATTATACACGAAATCAGATCACTGTAAGAGATAATTACAGGAGCCGTAGACTGAGAAAAGCCACACCCTCTATTATCTATATATATTTTCTTCATAGCTCTTCCCTTCCATGTTGATCTGTCTCCTGATTAGCTCCCACACCATACCCAGTGTCTCAGTACTAAGTCTACCCGTGGTGGGCACAGTACAACTAGTCCATTGGGTAGTTTTGTTTAACAACACTCAAAACCCATGTCTCGTGATTAATAATATACATAAAACTGTTCATCTTATTATCAGTGTACTATATTTAAGCTATGCATTTGTATGTAAGATATATTTGTATGTATAATCAAAATGGTGATTAGAATTATATTTCATATCTAATTTGGAATGGCTGAGTATGTTTTGTTAAGTTGTTTCATTTCTTATATGTTTCGGTTCTGTAAATGTGCAAGCTAGTTATTGTGCGTCCCCCGGTAGGACAGCGGTCAGTCAACGGGATTATAACGTTAAAACCCGGGGTTCGATTCATCGCGGTTGACACAGCAGATAGCCCAAAGTGGGTTCGCTCTAAAAACAAACAATAATTATTTTGCCTTCGTCATTTACGTTTTCTTGGTAAGTGACGATAAAATGGAGTTGTACTGAATTGTTATATTTTAAAATCACAACCCCATATTCTCCAATAGTTATTGCTTACCTAAGTAACGAACATTAACACCCAAAGTGATTGAAATGCGAGGGTTAATTTCAAAACATATCATACAATTCCTCAAATGAACAAGACCTTTCTCAGACTTGCACCTGTGGCATTAAATGAAACAGGTCGGAAGTAGCAGTTACCTCCACACTGATTCAATATCAATTATTTTGAAACATTTCATCCAAAAAATGAAATAACTAAGATTAAAACTTTAAAATCAGGCAAATGTATATATATGTTATGACAAAGCACGCCCTTGTTCTAGATGACAGCCTTGTTTAATTTCTGCTTTGCATCAGCCAGAAAGTTTACAAGATATTTATCTAGAACTCAGTAACACGCAAAGAGAGTTAATGGACAATTATGACAAGTCATGCTGGTTCTACTTCAAATAATAAAAAATCTTTCCATTTTTAATATGAGGATCTTATATTAAATTATTCTTCATTGTCTTTGTTTTAATTTTTCTGAATAAATCCATACATCATACTGAACACGTTGACGTAATTTTACGAACAATTTTGGTCTACATTTATGTTTTTTATTTTTTTATTTTTACAAAGGTTTCTCTATTACCGACTTAAATAATGACGGATCTCAATTTATATGTTGAATCTAACAAGTGCATAATATGATGAAACATTATTTTTTCACAAAGATAATGATTTGTTTACTTATCTTATAAAGACAAGTAGGGATCGACATATACTTAATCTAGTTAGCTATAGTAATATGGAACGTTTTAATGCTACAGAACGTATTGAAACAAGAAAGTCAAAACCACAAAAACTGTTTTACTTAAATTAACAAGAGATATTCCTACTTTGGCAAATCACTGTAATTATGTTTTATCTATATGATTTTGAATTACTGACCAGAAGGGGGATGGACATTCGGTAGCATCTGCCCTTACATGCGCTTTGTCTAGCTCTTTGAGCCAAATAAGTAAATTGACTGTAACTCTTATAACGTACTAATAGCTTAGGGTATGGAGTTTGTTCAGCAGCATATCGTGGGCTCAAATCTCAGATCTTGCGACCCGCAGCTCGGCACCCTAATCTCTTAGTCGAGTACGATCTCAAAACTCAAAAAATAAACTAGTAGTATAAAGTTAATCCCTCATTTACCTCCTGTCTCGTTTGATTACCATGTGTTTGTGTTCGTTGAATTAATTAGAAAAATACAAGGCATATTTCTTATGCTTACTTTTCAGCAGCAGAGATTAATAGACGTTCAAGTTTGTGTTAATACGCTGTAGATTTGTGCAGAGTACAGTGCATTTAGAACAAAATGATTGAATGTATTGTTTTGCTTTGTCATTCTGGATCTAGACTCGGTGGCTTGGGGCAAAACATTAGTTCAAAGCTTGTTTGGAATCGTTGGAAAGCTTAAACTATGTATAAAGCTATGTTGTATTCTAATTAGCGTCTACTTCACTCCTTAAATCATGTGTTTATAGCCACTGTTTGTTATTTCATTTTGAGAAATGCTTTTGAAAAGACTGTCAGCAGATATTTTCTCACCAGGACTTCTCACGATTGAATAAAACTAGTTAATTAGCAAACAAATTATCTAAAGTCTGAATGTTTCCTTTTAACTGGAACACATTTTATATTTTGCATACAACTAATTCATTGTGAGCAAGAAAACTTTAGGAAGATTTATTAAGTTAAATCTTCTTAACTGCCAGCTGGTAGTGAAAACTATAACATTTTGTTAATAAAATGTACATCGTTTAAAACTATTTTTAACTATAAACATATTGTGTGTGTATTTATCTGAGGCTTTAATTTATTAAAACACGAGTTCTTGTTTTACTGCGAAGCTTCACAATGGAATATCCACGTTCTGTCCACTACAGATAATCGAGCCCCAGACTTTAGCAAAAGTTGGAAGAAATGTTGTCATAATGTGATTTACTTAAAATCCGTTCATTAATTTCGTGAGGATGATTTAATTTCCATAACGACTGTCTTTCGGCCAACTACAGAACGAGACCTTGAATATCGTATATCATAGCTCATCCTTCTAGCTACCCGCAAAGCGTGCACGTGAAAGGTGACGTCTTCTATTTCACCTTGTATATACCTGATTTTCTTTACACCATCATATTTTTCTTTAATCCACTTTAATTTGATTGACTGTCTTATGAAACATTTTTCTACCCTTAATGTAATGATTCGATTTTGTTTCCCTAAAATTTCTTAATCAGCTCAGCTGGTAGGAGACTAAGTTATTCTTTAATGATAAACGCTACTATTGACCACTTTCATTTTGTGAAAATTAAAATAAAATAGTAAAACTAGCATCAAATACTATATTAAAGACAAGAAATATCTACGAGTATGTTTCAAATATTAATCTTATCTTCAGGTTCCGTAAACAATATCCAGAGGTCATCTGTCATGTAATTATAGGCTGTTAGTATTAGTATTGCTGCGCCATCAAAAATTTGATGTAAGAGACTATTGGTAATACGATTTAAGATATATAATTTTCTGCAATTATCAGAAATAAAAAATAAGAACCTTGTCGACCTTCTGTTTATACCAAAGATGTTGCACTGTCCAGGTATATAAAAGGGAGTCAACGTATGAGTGTGGCAGACATCAGCCATCCGGAGAGAGACAACTGTAGAGCAGCTCAGGATGGTCTTTAGGGTATGTATACAGACCGGAAGTTTTTGTACAGATATATATAACTTGATTTACTAAATCATCTGTTAAACGTTTCTTATAGCCAGATTTCTGGGTATAGGACAAATTCAAGCTGTTTTTCTGCGCCAGTTTCCCCCCAAGATATTATTATTTTATATATCCTAGATTGGGCATACATAACGTACAATGAATTGTTAATAAACTTAAATTCTTCAATAATTATGAGACGTTGCCTACTTGACAGAATAGAGTATGTTATGTTTTTACCAGAATATTATAAGCTATTATAAGAGATATTGGAACTTCAATAATAACATTAAGAGGCATATTAAAATATGCGCAATATTTGACATTAAAAGTTAATGATAACAAATCGACAAAATGATTAGATCAAAAATAAAAATAGATTTAATGCATGGAAGGAAATAGTAAATGCTTTGTAGATGAACACACTTGACTCAAAATCTTTTTAACACTAATTCTGATTAATTAGAACAGAAAAGAGTTGAAAATGTTTATAGTGAGAAAATACATGCTCTAATTTCTCTATTGGAAAATTTTGTAAGTCAAAAGATAGAGACATATTTTAAAATCTGGCTATAACAACTAAGGTACGAGATTTAAATTGCAAATAGCTGATTTTATACGGGTTCATTTTGTCTCTTAACCAGAAAAATAAATAAATGTACATTATAAATACTTCTAAACATGTCTAATTAAATAAAAACAACATTTTAGTGTTATAAGGTCGTTTATTTCTAGTATTAAAATGTCTTATATACACCATTATTCACTACAGAAATTAAATATTGACGTTAAGATAACCATCCTAGAATTGTAAGGAAGTAAAGCAGTTATTTCAAGCTAAATAAGTTGAATAAGTCATAACTTTGTAAAACATTGGTTCGTTGAAGAATATTTCGAAAAGTGTAAAAAGAACCAAGTTATAAAAGGACAATAGCGTAGGTAACATATTTTTTAACTAATATGGATTAAAAGGAGAAGTGCTATAGTTATCTGATATTTCTTTTTAGATAATTCTCTTCTGTTCCATGTTGGCGCTTGGCGCCAGCACTGGATTTCCGCCAGGTGGCGCACCTATAGTCTTACATCTGGTGCCACATGCTTACAAACCAGTAGCTGCTCCACCAGTTGCCCCACCTGTTGCTCCTGCTCCAGCTCCCCCTGTCGGAGAGGTGAATATAGAAAATCTGCTAATTTTCTCTTTCTTCTTATCTAATCTAAGGCATTTCTCCAGATGTGGATGGAGTGATTAATTACACAAATACATTTTACTTCTATTTTTCAAGATATATTTTATTTCAAGGAATTCTAGAATCTGAATTAATCGTGATATTTACATTTCTCGGGTAATTTTTCTCCAATATATATAGTATAAAACTCAAAACAAAAGATAAACTATGTTAACCCAAAGTAAAAGCTAATTAACAATGGGTGTTCTTAGTTCTATATCAAACTATTGTATAAAAGTAGCTGAAAAGGTATTGACGTAATGTTTACCACCAAAGGTATGAGGCTATAAAGTAATGTTTAGACATAAATAGTGACTCTTTAACTGGCTTATTGTCATACTTTATTGTTCATTTTCCTTCCCATCGTGTATAATGCAGGTACCGATATTTTTCTGAAAACATTCATGTTAATCCACACAGTTATGACATCATTGTTAGCCCCCCATTGGCACAGCGTTATGTCTGCGGACTTACAACGGTAGAAACCGGGTTTCGATACCCGTGGTGGGCAGAGCACAGATAGCCCATTGTGTAGCTTTGTGCCTAATTCCAAACAAACAAACCTGACATCATTATCAATTAAATCATACCAATGTTTCCGTTGCTTGACTTTATAGAAATATTTGTTTCTATTTGCTGTTAAGTAAAACATACAAAATTTAAATAACGTGAGAAATAACGTTTATTGAACGTCAAAATAATGTGTATCATGAAAAAACCCTTACATATTCAAACCTTTCTACTACTTTTTAATATGATTTACCTAACAAGCAGAATCATAATATTAATCGTAAGATTCATTTTACGTATAAATCTTTTCAGTATATTTGATTTGCTAATATATGAAAGCAAGGCCCCAAAAATAACATTTATACGGGTTTTCCATAAATATAATGCATTTTAAACAAAAATTAATTAAATAAAATGAAAGGCTGCAAAATTGGCTATGCACATCATAGAAATCCACCCTCAAATTTTAGAAGCATGAACTCATAAGTTTACTACTGAGCCATAGGGGTTCTAATAACCCACCGAAGGAACTTCGTGTAGTGTGAAACCTACAGTGGGTCAACACTTTGTTTTTACATTGTATAAAATATCTATAAAACTATCATAAGTTGTACCGATGTGTGGAACTATCTGTTTGTTTACTCAATTTTTGAAATATGCACATTATTTTGGTCAAAATGACTTCTGCACGTAGACTTTTGTCCTTCAGAGAATGTAAAAGATAAAAACTGTTCTCGTAATATCCAGTAAAGGGTTCCATAAATGGACAATAAAAGGGATTTAATGGGTCTTCACGTTTGGCTAACTTATGTTAAGAGCCGACCAGAACAAATATTTATATTCGTATGTTGAAAGGTGTTAAATTGGAGCTCCCATATGGAGATAAAGAAGTTAGAACCACGGATTTACCTGCAAATTAACACAAACGTGTATAAAGTCGTTTACAACAAAGTATGGAAGCTTTTTTTACGTATTTGTCTAATGAACTTTCGTAACTTATTGTCCGGAATATGATAAGCAAAATAATGCCATAGCATTTTTTGTCTATGCATTTAAAACAATGAAATAATTAACTGCTTTAATCATTTCAGCCCAGTCCATTTGCCTTCATGTACAGTGCTGTTTCCGGAAAAGGGGCTCACCAAAGATCAGAGAGTGCAGATCCATCTGGAAAAGTGAGTGGATCTTATAGCCTGACACATAAAGATGGAAAACAGAGAAAAGTTGATTACACTGCTTCCAAATCAGGATTCTCAGCTCTTATCCACACCAACGAGCAAGGAATAAAACCTGGTGAAAATCCAGCCGATGTTCAGATTATTGCTCTTGAAGGAGCTGCTCAAATACCAAAAGTTGGCGTTGTAGGAGCTACAGGACCCGCTGAAGCCCCAGTAAGAACCTACACTTACAATAGTATTTATTCATTAATCGGTTAAGTAAATGATGTTTTACGACCTTGAATACCTAATAGTAATTGAAGTTGTTTTCAAACAAATGTATTTTCTGGCAAAGATAGCTTGATATTATATGCACAAAAACTGTGGATCACAAAACAAAATAATTACTTTAATGAATTTATTAATTTAATTAGTTTACATGAGAATTGATAATGTTTGTTCGCCGTTTTCTTTCAACATGACGATATCCATAGTTTAAATAATAGCAATCTCTATATCTGAATTTATACTGCACTACTAAAGGGGAATTTAACGTAAGGAATATCCTATTTGAATGAACTCGAACGTATTCTGTACGAAGTCCTTATTGGTTTGTGTATGTTTTGATTGTCTTTTGTTGTTGTTTTGATCGTTTCATATATTATTGTCAATTTTTTAATTATATATGTTTTATTTTTATCCAGTCTTCCCCCTTTTCGTTCATGTATACTGCTGCTGCTGGAGCTGGGTCCAGTTCTAGGTCTGAAAGTGGAGATTCCAGCGGAAACGTGAAGGGAACTTACTCCTTGGATGACGAAGATGGACGAAAGAGGATTGTGGACTACACTGCCGGAACTGAGGGATTTATGGCAAAAATTCAAACTAACGAGCCTGGTATAGTACCAGGAGCAAATCCAAATAATGTCGAAATTCTTTCTATTCCTGGCGTAGCAGCTATACCCGCTGCTGTTCCTGCCCCTGCTGCTCCTGTTGCTGGCCCTGCTGCTCCTACTGCTGCAGTATCTGGTCCGGTAAGTAATGTTTCCTTCCTTAACATTTTGTTAACCTTATAAGAGTTAGAAAATAAATTTAATTATGCCTTTTTGAGTAAATGCCACGTAATTGGTTACATATTGTGTTGTGCTCACGTACTATATTAGTCCTTGCTCATTTTTAGTTAACACCAACTCAAATATGTTAATTAGGTAAATGTCCAATAGGAATATTGTAGAAAAACTATATTCTGTTACTGACTTTGTGGCATTTCTTTAATATCTTGCGCAAACTAGTGGTTTTTGCATGTTCCTTGTCTATTGTAGTTACAATTGTTAACTTATGAACTGAGAACCGTTTGCCTGATCATTCGACTGACATTCAAGCTCATCTAAAAGAGAAAGAATGGCAGAATTCTGAGAAATAATCAGCAGTGTTAGGAAATGGCTCTTGAAAGTATTTCTCAAAGTTTATTTTAATTTCACTAAGCACATATGGTAAAATAGTTTAACTGAAATATAATATTATTATATCATTTTAGAGCTGGTCAATGCTTATAAGAATTCCGTATGTATAACGTTATTTTTTAACTCTGTTCCTTTAAAACCTCATATAAATCACGTATATTGCACGTTCATATTTTATTCACAAATTAAATGTTTAACAAATCATAATGAAACACGGATTAATTATTTCAGTTCATGTAGATATTAAACTCTGCTGTGGAGAAAAACAGTTATTTGTCGCTGTGTCTATCTGTGCGTGGGCGCATAAGCTCACTTCACAAGTTTCTTACTGCAGAAAGCTAAAAAGAAAAACTGGATAACCTAACAGACTTCTCTAACTGCAAAGTGAATTCATATTGTTATTGGTTTATATATTTCGTTTGTTCTAGAATAAAACTATTGGAATATCTGTTGGGTCCGCTGGTGGGAGTCGAACCCAAGATTTAGTGTTGTAAGTCCGTAAACTTATCGATATCCCACCGGAGTACCGCTTAGCATAAACAATAATATCGAAAATCTATGCTTTGAGTTTTTATTACAAATACTTGTGTGAATTTCCGACAGTTGATGTAATAGGACAGGAAGAATGTTGGGAAAGAATATCAAAACAATTAAAACGTTGTATATCAGTAGTACACGATTAAATAATTACCGTTATTTAATTTTTTGCCAAAAATGCTCAAACGTGTGTTTTATATTTAATTAAGAAGATATTATACCGTTTTATCATTTCATTTACTTTGAAAGTTTAATACAATATTAATAATTTATTCCAGCCGTCCCCCTTTTCGTTCATGTATACCGCTGCTGCTGGAGCTGGGTCCAGTTCTCGGTCTGAAAGTGGAGATTCCAGCGGAAACGTTATAGGAACTTACTCCTTGGATGACGAAGATGGACGAAAGAGGATTGTGGACTACACTGCCGGAACTGAGGGATTTATGGCAAAAATTCAGACTAACGAGCCTGGTATAGTACCAGGAGCAAATCCGAATAATGTCGAAATTCTTTCTATTCCTGGCGAAGCAGCTATTCCCGCTGCTGTTCCTGCCCCTGCTGCACCTACTGCTCCAGTATCTGGTCCGGTAAGTAATGTTTCCTTCCTTAATATTTTGTTAACTTAAAGAGTGAGAAAATAAGTTTAATTATACTTTGTTTAAGACGAAAGAATATTAGAATTCTGAGAAATAAACAGCAGTGTTAGTGATTGGCTCTTGAAAATATTTCTTAAAATATATTTTCATTTTACGAAGCAATATTATTAAATTTCTTTTAATGTTATGTTATTTTCTCTACAAGAGAAACTGGATAAGTTAAGGAACTTTTGTATGACCAAAGTAAGTCCATATTGCTCACGTTTACCTCTGAATTTTTATTAGAAAACATATGTATGCATTTTTGACAGTTAAAGAAATAAAACAGAAAGAAGAAAGAGAAAAACCCCAAAAACAATTAATTAAAGCGTTTTATTTCTGCACATTAAAATAACTAACACGTAATAAAAACATTTTGTAAATGTAAAATGATGTAAGAATGATAGTGCCAAAAGGAATACAAACAATAGTATAGAGATGATCCAGCTATACATTATTCATCCATAGATGACTTTCAATATTAAAATTTGATGTTACACTATAAAACTCACGAGTACAAAATGGTTACGAGGTCGGTCGAATTGATCGACCTCGTAGCGAGAGTCTGTAATAATTAATATACATTTTGACTCAACTAAATTTTCCTTGTACGCAAGTCATAGGCTCTAATCTACACTACATTGATGCATACCCCTGACATGACCATGATATTATGTTAAACTGACTGCATACCAACAGTCAGGAATATATAACTTCCAATTGCAATAATATTTAAGTCAAATATACATTTTACAGCTGTATAACAGTATAGCTATGTCACCCCTATATTCTTGTTTGCTTTATTTTTGGCACTGCCATACCTGTATCATTTACACTTACAAAATGTTTTATTACTTATTTCGTGAGATTTTTTTCCCTTGACTGAAAATTAGTGTATTTCATGAATGTGTGTAATCAAATTTAATATTATGTATACTGATTTTTACGCCTTCACTTCATACGTAATATAGGGGTTGGATCCCTAAAGACACTATTTGTATAGTGTACAAAACATAGAGTCTACCGACTCTATGATGATATATTTTCTTAGTGTTATCCCACTCTTTTGCCTAAAAAGCTCAAACGTGTGTTTTTACTTTAATAAGAAAAGAAAACACCTGTTCACTAAATCGTTTGCTCTGACAGTTTAATACAATGTTATTCATTTTCTCTAGCCGTCCCCCTTTGATTTCATGTACACTGCTGTTGACCAAGTAAGACAACTGTTGCTAAACTGTCTGGTATTCATTATTGATTTTATTATGAATTTAAATATTATAATCTTAATAGTATTGGAAACGTCTAAGAAAATAAGCATTTATTTTGTTGTTGTACTAGTATGAATCAGGTTAATTTCTCTTAGATAAAGTGACTACAAATAAAATGTTATTTATCTGTCAAATACAATACATCTCACTATTTTTCATTTTATTAAATTTATTTATAATGTTATATTTTAGAGCCCTTTCAGCTTTATGTATACTGCTGCTGCAGGAAAGGGGTCCAGCTCGAGATCAGAAAGTGGAGATGCTGGTGCCAAAATAAAAGGATCCTATAGTTTAAAACATCCAAGCGGACATCAGAGGATTGTAGCCTACTCAGCCAATGGTGAAGGTTTTATGGCATCTGTAAAAAGCAATGAACCAGGTGTGGAACCTGGAGCAGATACTGCTGATGTTAAGTATTTGCCCCTACCTGAGGTTGCCGTGGCCGCTCCTGCTCCTGCTCCTGCCCAAAAACCTATCTCGGCCAAAGAACTCTTTGCAGCTGCAAAATACGCCCCTGTTTCTCCGGCAAAGCTAGCCAACTACATATGGTATCCCACAGCTATTGTCATAGACCAATAAACAGCCGTTGATACTTTTTTAAGCATTTTTAACCGGAACGACAACGGACAATTTATTTTAAGTCTTCTACACAGATGTTCTGAGCTCATATCAACAGGTTCACAGCTTCCTCTCAATACACTTGTTTTTACCTAAATGATATTGAACTTTTTAGGTATACTAACAGATGGATAATAAAGCTTTTTAATGTTTTAAAATTAATAGGTGTTTGGTGTTTCTATTTGGAAGACACGTGTATAAAATAAAGCTTATATAAAATAGATTAATCATGCTCTTATATATATATGGCCAAAATGTATTTAGCAAGCTACGCTCATGCACTGATTTTTGTTGATGTTTCTCAAAATGTGATAGCTTAAACTGGGACCAGCAGATTACTAAGCTTGTGGTTATAGTTAATAAAACAAATGTGAATTATGTGCCCAATTATGCAGCTTTAGAACCTACTTTATTTGGCTACTTGGGGGTACTTTATTGTCTAAATTTAAACTGATTTGTCTGCAAGGCCTTTTTGATGTTTATGGGAAGTACAGAATAAGATGTTATGTAGTGAAATACATATGACAAATAATCGCTCACTACGCTCATAACTATAATAATCTTTACATTTCAAGGTATAACATGATTTTTAATTTGACAAATTATAATCAAATCTGACTTTCAAAAACATTTTAGCATGTGTATTTTAAAAGATTTTTGACTAAACATTTTCATGCTAAATTTTATTTGTAAACTCGGCGTGTATATTGCTCTGTTTGTGTGAAAATGTGGTGCTAAGGTTTCAACAACAATGCTTATGTTTATTTCGATTCGCTTCTTTGTGTTAAAGTCTAGTTATACTGCTGTGTTTGTGTGTATATATATAAATAAATATGTATATGTACATGAAGTTCTAATAAAGAAGAATGTAGCAGAAGCATTTAAAAAACCTGAAATGTTTAATTGTTATTTTTCCACAAGTTTAGAGGTTTCCAAATTTAGTCTTAAATACTTAAATTATTGTAATCATTTGGGATTTTAATTACCTAAACATATTAAATCCTTTTTTATTGTAAGACATTAATTAAATTTAGAAAAAAACTACATTTATAATCTAGTAAATTTTAAGCATTTAACTTACTGCACTTTAAAGTAAAAGTAAATGTATTTTACTAAAACATCACAAGTCCTCATCTATATATCATTCATTCATTCTAGGCTGTATCTTTCCTTTTCATTATTTTGTTTATTTGTAAAACACAACTTAATGACTTGATTCTAATTTCTTTTAGATAAACCACCTGCCCTTAAACCAGAAAAAAATAATCCTTCAGTCAATAAAAGTCCGTCTATGACGACTATGTGGTAAAAATGTTAGCTCAAATGTTGTCGTGGCTAAATTAATTTTAATACAAACACAAATGATATATAAACAGATTTATGTGATAATAAATGGATATTTTGCATTAATAATGTTTTGAATATGAAAAATAACCTTTGTGCCTAATATATCAAGATGTTCTCTTTGGATTTGTTTGTGATAACTCTCGAGAGACTATCGTTTTCACAACCATCAGTTTCTTAATTTTGGCAAGTTCTTTGTGTATTTTTTCCTAAACTTACTTCACTGCCTTTAATTGGAAATATTAATAAACAACTTTTACCAAGCTATAGACCACAGATCCACAAATATTTTTCACTGATTAAATTTGTTTGAAAATTGTTTGAAAGTATTCAAATTCATGTCGCATAAACAAATTTACTGCGACCACTTATCTCAATATTTTAGTTATATTATTTATTAACAAATGACGCGCTAACAGATGGAAACTTCTTATAAGTTCACAGGAAGGTGTACTTGCTAAGTCGTAGTTTTTCTCCTTTGGAAACTTCTTATAAGTTAACATGAATGTGTGCTTCTTTTCTCGTTAATGTCAAGTATAATAGTTTGTAATGCAACAGAGACGATAGTGAAAACTGCTTAATTAAAAACTAGACCAATGATGCTTGAGTGAAGTATTACAGTTCTTATGGAATATTAAAGTTACCTGCGGATGTAGACTTTAAATACAATGGGTATCCACATCTTGAAAAATCTAAATTCCTTATATGAATGTGTCTTTATGAGCTAAGTGTACGAATATTTTGCGTCGAAATGGGCTGTTAACATACCCTTTCCAAGAGCTATAAATTTTCCGTTGTATCTTATTATATATGAAACATCAAAGAATGTCAAAATGTCCTGATATACGCCGTTCTGTCGTGCCTTCGTATCTGTTGTAGTGGTTCATTTTAGTTGTTTATTTGCATATTTAAAATCATTTTATGTGAAGTAAAAAATCGTTTTATGATAATGTAGTCAATCATCTGTACTCTTTGAAATACGAAAGTGACTAAACAGAGATTTGCCTAACATTAAATGCATTTTCTCATTTCATTGAACTTATGATTCTATCGGCTTCAAAAAGTTTATCGCTGAAGAATAAGATAAAAAAAAGGCTTCGCTAGGAAACCCTACCTCTAAATCTTCAGCGATAACACAGGACTGCGAATTTAAATTTCATAAAAGCTGTTTCGGAAAATAATATTAATTTTTTTCCTATCACGTAAGGATTGTTTACAAATTGGGAAGAAGAAAAACTCCTACTTATATCAAATTATTATTTCGTTTACCACAATGAACATTTTTTATTACTATCTTTGTTAACAAAAATACAAACAAACTAAAGGAAAGGGAAGAACATTAGTGTCAAACGAATATGCATCCTCATTCATCCTGATTTGTGTGTGTGTGTGAAATCTACGTTTTTTAGTCTCAAAAGTACGAGTTGTGGTCTTTTTATGTATTGCGTTATGACGTTTTGTAAAAACTCCGTACGGAATGGAGAATAAAGGATATTATTTTCGAATTCAGCGTACAGGGATTACCGTAGAACATGTCAAAATTTCAAGACAGTAAAAACCATCGCACTTGAGGGCTTACTACGCTAGAAATCGAAATTCATGCCCTGCGGTAGGCATAGGGCAGATAGCTCACTCTACAGATTTGTACTTAAACAAAGAAACTATAATAATAAATCCATGGTAGTTGCTGGGTGGTGAAAGTATGACACTGATCTTGAAAACGTGCATCTAATTATACACGAAATCAGATCACTGTAAGAGATAATTACAGGAGCCGTAGACTGAGAAAAGCCACACCCTCTATTATCTATATATATTTTCTTCATAGCTCTTCCCTTCCATGTTGATCTGTCTCCTGATTAGCTCCCACACCATACCCAGTGTCTCAGTACTAAGTCTATAGGTTTACAACGCTAAAACCGGGTTTCGATACCCGTGGTGGGCACAGCACAACTTGTCCACTGGGTAGTTTTGTTTAACAACACTCAAACCCCTCAAAACCCATGTCTCGTGATTAATAATATACGTTATACTGTTCATCTTATTATCAGTGTACTATATTTAAGCTATGCATTTGTATGTAAGATATATTTGTATGTATAATCAAAATGGTAATTATAATTGTATTTCATATCTAATTTGGCATGGCTGAGTATGTTTTGTTAGGTTGTTTCATTCTTTATAGGTTTCGGTTCTGTAAATGTGCAAGCTAGTTGTTGTGCGTTCCCCGGTGGGACAGCTGTAAGTCAACGGAATTATAACGTTAAAACCCGGGGTTCGATTCATCGCGGTTGACACAGCAGATAGCCCAAAGTGGGTTCGCTCTAAAAACAAACAATAATTATTTTGCCTTCGTCATTTACGTTTTCTTGGTAAGTGACGATAAAATGGAGTTGTACTGAATTGTTATATTTTAAAATCACAACCCCATATTCTCCAATAGTTATTGCTTACCTAAGTAACGAACATTAACACCCAAAGTGATTAAAATGCGAGGGTTAATTTCAAAACATATCATACAATTCCTCAAATGAACAAGACCTTTCTCAGACTTGCACCTGTGTTATTAAATGAAACAGGTCC